GAAGGGACAAAAATCTCTGCCCTCGGGCTTCCCTGGTGGCGCAGTGGTTGAGAGTCCGCCTGCCGATGCGGGGGACACGGGTTCGTGCCCCGGTCCGGGAGGATCCCACATGCCGCGGAGCGGCTGGGCCCGTGAGCCATGGCCGCTGAGCCTGCGCGTCCAGAGCCGCGGGAGAGGCCACAGCGGTGAGAGGCCCGCGTACTGCAAAAAAAAATCTCTGCCCTCGGGGCTGTGAGAGAGGAGGAGAGTCCTGAGGTGAAAGTTTGGCTATAGGAAGTGAGGCAGAAAGAGAGTAAAGGGATTGAGTCTTTTTTTTCCTGATTGGGCCTCAAATATAGAGTTAATTATAAACATTATCATCATTTTCCTATAAGGACTATATTCATCTTCGTATCCCCTATGCCTGCTATACTGCCTGGCATATAGTAAGTGTTCCACAGGTGTTTGTGAAATGAAAGGATGACTTCTCAGCTTTAACCCTGAATGATTGAAGAGATGGCATTTTAAGCAACATAAGAAACACCTGACAGAAGTTGTGAGCGTAGCAGGAGGTGGAAAATGTATGTGGACATATTCGCCAAAAGCAGCTCTATGTCCTTTAATAGAGTTCTGTAGTCTTCTACATGATGGTCTTCTCTCTGTTTGGTACTTTATCATTTTTATTGCTATTGTGGAAAATATCTTTCATATTTAAAATTATAGTTTTCTAGTTTTTTTGCTTCAGTAGAGAAATGCTATTGACATTTATAAGATTTTCTGGTATTCAGAAACCTTGGTGAATTCTTTCATTACCTCTGATGGATAATGTCTTTGATTATCATTTCAATTGCTTTCATGCTTATTGGTCTACTCAAATGATCTATTTCTTTTTGCCCAGTTTTTATATTTTATATTTTTTCTAAGAATTTAACCATTGCATTAGGCGTTTCACATTTATTAATATAGTTATTCAAACTATTTTTCTTCTCTTTCCTACTTCAAGTTTCAAGATTTATATTTACTTTTGCCTTTTGCCCTAGGGGCATTATCAGCCCAGGACCACATTTATTTTCATTTTGAGGGTTCATGACTACACAAGGAATATAAATTAGAATTTCAAACCAGTGTGAGGATAGACTCTTGGTTAAAAATATCAGAGAAGGCTTTTTTTCCCACCCAGAGTTCAAGTTTCCTTGTCTGGTGAGCAGATTTTTTTCTAGCCACCTTTTTACCAAGTGTGTAGCAATTTGACAAGCCTGGCTTTTTTTCCTGGGGTCTCATTTAAATAGCCACTTCACATGGGCCTTATCTTTGTCCCCACCTTACTGTTAACCTAAGTCCCTCAGTGGCTGACACTGCAAATGACCTAGGGCATTGAAGTCTCAACTAGTTTCCACTCTTGTTTTTCAGTTTTCTTCTGATTTTTGACCTGGAGATTTCCCTTACTTTCTTGTAAGGAGCTACATTCTGCATTGAAAAGATGTTTGTTGTATTTTATTCAGCATTCCCAAGTGTTTTCTAGTGGGAGATTATTTAGGTCTATGATATGTAGAGATCATTTTGAGATATATACATAGAAAGATCATTTGTAAATACATCAACCTGTATTTCAACATCAGTTTTCCTTCTGCTTATGTTTTTAATCAACAGTCCATTATGGACATAAATTAAATAATATATGACTAAGTATAAAATCAATTTAAAACTGTCCAAAGTTCAAAACTACCACTGCAGCTAGGGTTATTCTACAACTGGCCTACTGCATTATGAGCATGCTCATGAATTCCCTATTAATTGTTGTGTAGGCTCTTTTAATATACCTTCAGAGACTGATGTCCTAATATAAAGGGAAGAAATAAAAAGTTTTATTTGAAATTGTAACAAATGTCATTTATGCCTTTAAAATGACCTGGAACACCCTTGCAGAAAGCCCAGGAGTTTATTAACTACTGGATGGGAAATTCTGACCTGCAGTATAAAATAAAAATCCCACATAATCTGGCATAATCTGGCTTCCACCTATGTTTTTAGCTTCATCTCTCACTACTTAGCAAAAGTGCACCTAAAAATCATGATGCTCTAATCTTCTCAGCGATGTTCCCACTTGCCTGGAATGCCCTTTTTTCACCTAAAAACCTTCTGTTGATTCTTCATACTCCAGTACAAATGGCAACTTCTTGAGGAATTCTTCCCTTCTCTCCCAGGCAGTTAATCACTGTTCTATTTATTCCCTCACACTTACATTTCTTTTTTTTAAATAGATTTATTTATTTATTTATTTATTTATTTATTTATTTATGGCTGCGTTGGGTCTTTGTTGCTGCACACAGGCTTTCTCTAGTTGTGGCTAGCAGGGGCTACTCTTTGTTGTGGTGCGTGGGCTTCTCATTGTGGTGGCTTCCCTTGTTGCAGAGCAGGGGCTATAGGCGTGCAGGCTTCAGTAGTTGTGGTGCATGGGCTACAGTAGTTGTGGCTCGTGGGCTCAGTAGTTGTGGAGCACAGGCTTAGTTGCTCCGTGCCATGTGGGATCTTCCCGGACCATGGATCAAACCCGTGTCCCCTGCATTGGCAGGAGGATTCTTAACCACTGCGCCACCAGGGAAGCCCCACACTTATATTTCTGTTACAGCATTTACCACATGGTATTGTAATTTATGTTTAGACATCTATTTTCCCTACTAGTGTAAGTTCCTAGAACACAGGGATCATATTTATCTCTACAGTTCCAGCACCCTACACAGTACTGAGAACTAAGTAAGTACTCAATAAATGATTCATGAATAAATGAATGACATAACTGTTGCTGTGGTTATGGATACCAACAGTATCAATATTTATGTCTATGAGATGAAGTGCGCTGTCAATAAAGTCTCTAACCTAGAGTATTACCTGATTTTATTTTTTCTTTTTGTTCCTTTCTAGACTTCAAAGCAGCATAAATTGAAAAAGATCCAGAAATTCACAGGTCAGAAAGATCCTATTCTTCAGTTCAAAGCTAACGACAAATCAACTATGGGGTCTGTTTTAAGACGCTAACCTTTAATAGCAGGTGGAAGGAACAAGGTTGAAACGACTATGTAAATGAAAGAAATAGCCCTACTCTTTCTAGCATCTCCACTTCCAAAGAAATGTAAATGGCTCCATAATTCTTTCCATGCTTCCTATCCTCATGCTTTCCTAATCTCTTTTCGTGCAAAGCTCAAAGTATCAGGAAAGAAACATGGTGAGACTGAAGAACAAAGAAGGGGTAACTACCAAAAGTTTGATGCGGGAAGTTTTGGTACCTTTTTTCTCTAGCATAGACACTGGATAATACATATCTTTTCCTCCAAAGATATGTATTCCTCTGTTTACCCCACTCCATCTCCCTATCATGATTATTCCTGCTCTTTCCAATGGCTTACATATACTACATGCTGAAGACAGCATCCTACAGCTTAAAAAAACAAACAAACAAAATGAGAGCTAGGTTAAATCTGAGCTCCACCACTAATTAGCTTTATGATCTTAGGCATGGCTTTGTCTTTGTTTCCTTATTTGCAAAATGAAGGGGTTGAACTAAGGTGATGTCAATAGTCATAATGCTAATAGATTCTTTACCTCTACTCCCAGATCCACAGTGGGAAGAAAATCTCAGGATGGGTCGCGTTGAAGCTAACCTGACATGGTGAGTAAAGTCGATCTTCACTGTGTCTATTCTTTCTCTCTTCAGCCTACCCTACTGATAAAATCTATAAAAGTTAGGAGTAAAAAAAAAAAAAAAAAAAAGTTAGGAGTAAGATACCTGGGACTCTGTTTTACTTCCCTAGCTATGATAGCTGTCTCCTTTCTAAGTCTCTCTTCTTATTGTTTTCCTTACCAGTACTTTAATATCACTTCAATTACACTGACATACTCTGTTGCATCCAGCTTTTCAGGACTCCCTATGGGGTGGTCCCAGGAATGTGTATGCTGGTCAATGGACAGGAGTCTTCAACAGATCGTGCAACACCTGGAAAGTGCAAGGTCAAGTAGTTTCTTGGTTGGGGTTGAAGGTGGTAGAGCTTTTAAGAGGGAGGAAGGAAGAGAGTGAAGGAGGGAGGGAGGGAGAAGGAGAGGGAGAAGAAAGATGGTTAGTTAGTTAATTAGTTTTGGTAGTGGGGGAAGTTCTGGGTTCGAACAAAGTTTAAGAACAACTGGTCTGTGAATCATTTCTGATTGGAATGGGGACAAATGCCTCCCTTTGTCCTGGTGGAGGAATTCTTTCCATAAATAATTGATGTTGGGGAAAGCAACTTTTTTGTTTGTTTGTTTTCCCTCAGTCCACATTATTTTGCATTTGAAATGGCCATTATCTTTCCCTTTTCCTACTTTTCCTTTTCCTATTTCAAAACAAATAGAAACTTTTCTCTTTATTTCTTAGATCAAGTCTTATGGAATTGGGTTTGCCTGAACCACAGGATACGATTTCTTCTTCCACCTCCTCTGCTTCTGTGGCTCAGGGGCCTGTTCTACCCTGTTGTGACTGTAAGAAGGCAAAACATTCTTCTGACAGTAGCATCTCCTCTGGATCATCCTACAACTCCAGCCTGTCTCACCTTCCTGTCTTTTCTGAAGGAACAACTTGGCAACTCCGAAGCCACAGTTTACCTATTTTACCCCCAAATCAACCTCCTGTGTTCAGGAACCAAGGCACACCCCTGCCTTCTTTTAGGCTCTCAGAGCTTGGGAAATCAAAACCTTTTCAGAATTTGGCAGCTCTTTCATCCTTAAGTCCTCAAAGCACTTTTATCAACTCTCTTTTTGAATCCCCAAATCTCCACAAACAAGAAGAGAAAACAAAGGATGAGAGAAGGAGCAAGAGTCATTTGACATCAGATCATAGGCCAAATGATATTTTCAAAGAGAGACCACTATTGTCAGGGTCAGCTCCAATCCAGCTCTCTCCTTTGGCTAGGCGGGAGTTAGAGGGACATATGGCTTGGAAGGTTTGTACCTTGCAGGAACAAACAGTGCCTCTGCCTGTGAGGGAATCATGGGCAATGCTGAATTATTTAACTGAGGTACAAGGAGGAGTCCCTGAACCAGAGAAACCCCAAATCCACTTATCTATGCCCATTCATCAAAGCACTGAGCAGGATATCAACAATGAATCCCCAGACCTTCCAGCATTTCAGCTCCACGTGAACGTTGGAGTGGAATCTGGATTAAACAGAACAGAAACAAAAAGTTCACAGACTCTAATCCCAGGTAAGCAGTCACAACCTGGGGATGGCCCCCAAATCCTTGGATCCAGGCCCTTAATGACATCAATGGGCACTCCACCTCCCAAAAGTTTAGGAGTTGACATAGCTCAAGAGGAAATGACTTTACTGCAGAAGGACCCAAAACGTGTGTTAGAGCTTAGTGTAGAGCAGAGGGTCATAGATCTTCCAGAAAAAAGGATACAGCAGCATAAGACCCAAGTGACTAATGTGGAGCTGACCCCACAGCTACCATATCAAGTCAGAGATAGCATAAAGGTTACTCCACTGGCATTACTTCAAGTCATGGATTTAATGGGGTTAATCCCAGAATCACATTCAGAAGGGATAGAATCTGTAGGTTTGTTACCACGGCCACCAAATGAAGTCGTGAAACCAATGGAAGCCAGGGAAACAGTGAGTGTAAGCCAAAACCCATCATATCAAGTCATTAAATCAGTGGAGGTAACCCCAAGATCTCAGCAGCAAGTTATGGAATCAAGGAAGATGACCTCAAGACAGCGGAATCAAGTCATAGGCAATGTGAAGGTAACTCCTACAGCATTGCTTCAAGTCATGGATTCTATGGGGTTGATTAAAAAATCACATCCACCTATCATACAGTCAAAGGCAATGACCCCAAGGATGCAATATCAAGTCAAGGAGTCAGTGAAAAGGACCACATTGTTGGACCATCAAGTCATACAACCAGGAAAGATGAGTCCAAGGCTGCAACATGCAGTCATGGAAACTGTGGAAATGACCCCAGGGCCACAGCATAAAGTTATGGAATTGGTGGACGTAACATCAAGGCCACAAAGTCAAGTCACAGAACCACTGAAGATTACTCCAGGGCCAATATGTCAAAATACAAAATCACCTGAAATGATCACCAGGCCATTGCATCCAGTGATGGATTACCTGGAAGTAACTCCAGTGACACTATTACAAGCTATGGATTTCATGGGGATAATTCCACCAACCCAGTCACATGTTATAAAATCTGGGGGTTTGACTCCAGACACACAGTCTCAAATTGCAAATTTGACCCCCAGGGCAACTCAATCAGATGGTTTGACTTCTTCTAGCTCTCCTACTACTATTGGTCCACGTGGAGTGGTAGAATCTGTGGGCTTACCTCCAAAGCTACCACCTAAAATCATGGAATTGGTAGGATTGATTCCAATGCCATCACAACAATCCATACATTCTCTAAAGGTAACTCTAACAGCACTGGGGTCACCCAAGGGAATGATCACAGCACCACAGTCACAAGTTGTAGAAACTCAGGATTTGACCCCAAGGCTAATATCTCAAGCCAAGGAATCTCTGGAGTCAACTCCTGAGTCATGCATTCAAGTGCTAGACTCTGAGGGGATGACTCCACAACCACATCATCAAAGCACAGAATCTATGTCATTAACCCCAGGACCACCTCATCAAGTCACGGAGTCTTCAAGGTTGACCCCAAGGCATGAAATTCTGGAGTATTCAGAGATGAGTCCAAGGCAAAGCCATCACGTCACAGAAACTATGGGTTTGACATCTGACATCTGGCTACAAATGGAGAAATCTGTAGAGGTGACACAGTCACACCATCAAATGATGGAATCTTTAGGGACAATCCCAAAGTCACTGGGTCAAGGTACAGAATCTATGGGAATGAGCCAAAAGCCACTGCCTCAAGTCACAGAATCTACAGAAATGCTACAAGAAATGCTACAAGATTCATCACTGCTTCAAGATGTGAAGTATATGGGGATGAAGCCAATGCCACAATTTAATGTTATGGATTCTATGAAGTTATCCCCAGGATTGCAAAATTTGAAATCTGGGAAACTGATCTTGGGACCAGAGTTGCAAAATACAAAATCTATAGACATAATCACAGGTTCAATTCCACAAATGGTAAAATATGGACAGCTGATCCCAACTGTGAACTCTATAGAATTGGCCCCAGAACTACAACGGCAGAGTATAAAACCTGATGAGTTGGCCTCCATACCACAGCTGCAAAGTGAGAAATCTGTGCAGTCAGCCCCAGGGTCTCAGCTTCATGGTGTGAAATCTATCCAATTGACCCTGGGACCACAACAACAAAATGAAAAATCTGCTGAGTTAGTCCCAGCACCACAGTTGCAAAGTAGGGAATCTATAGATTTGGCCCCCAGTTCACAGTTTCAAGGTATGGAATATGTTCATTTGGCCCTACCATCACAGTTTCCAGGTATAAATACTGTGGAGTTGACTCTAAGACCAGTACAAGAATATATGAAATCTGTGGAGTTTGCCCCAAAGCCATGGTTACAAGATATAAGATCTGAGGAGACAGCTCCAGTATCATTGCTTGAAGATGTGAAAACTCCTCAAATGGTAGGAAGTAGGAGGTTGATTCCTGAGACACAGGTAGAAGATATGAAATATGAGGAACTGATCCCAGGGGCACACATTCAAGCAGTAAAATCTGTAGAGTTGAACCTCAAACCGAATCATCAAGTCACAGAACCTGAAGGATTGACCCCATGGCATCAAGCTTCAGAATCTTTAAGGATGATCTCAGAGCCAGGATATCCAGAAATAGAAGCAAAGTTTACCTCTGACACTTGTCACCATGCAAAAGAATCTAGGGGGTTGATACAATCATCTTTAGGAAATACCCCAGGGCCACTGAGCCAAGCTTCAGAATTTATGCAGATGAACTCAATGTCATTCCAAGGTACTCTTGAGCCAATGTTCCAAAGTGTAAAAGCCATGGGAGATACTCCAGTGTCACAGCACACAATACAAGAATCTTTAGAGTTGGTACCAGGATCAGAGATGCAAGGTATGAAATCAAAGATGTTGACCCCAGAGTCCCAAGGTATGAAGTTTGTTCATCTGAATCTAGGACCATATTCAGAAGTTATGAACTATGAGGAGTTGATCTTGGAACCACAATTTCAAAACGTGAAATCTGTTCCATTGACCTCAGAACCACAGTCCAAAAGTATAAAACCTGAGGAGTTGACTCTAGAGCCATTAATGCATGATAATAATTTTGTGGATTTACACGTGCCACTGGAAGAATCTAGTAGGTTAATTTCTGAGACACAGTTACAGCATGTTGAATCAAGGAAAGTTACCATGGAACCACATTTGAAATCTGTGGGTCTAACTTCCAGACCAAGGCATCAAGACACAGGGCCTGCAGAGTTAGCTGCTGAGATCTGCCCACAAGAGGAAGAATCTGCGAAAGTGATCCCACAGCTAGTCTTGAAAACTGCTGGGGTGATGCCTAGGCCACATTTTCAAAAATTTTCAGAGATGACTCTAGGTCAAGGCTATCAAGATACAGAAACTGTGAGGCTGACTTCTGAGGCTTTGCCCCAAGTAGCACTAACACAAAAACCAATAGGTCAAGTTAGAGAATCTACAGGAATGACTCCTCTAAGGCCACATCTTCAAGTTACAGAGTCATCAGGGATACCCCTAAGGTCAGAATATGAAAACACAGAAACTGTGGGGTTGGCAACATTTCCAGTTGAAAACATCCAGGAGGTAATACCAGTACTACCATATTCAGAAAAAGGATCTCTGGAGTTGACTTTAGGACCAGGGATGCAATGTGAGATATCAGAGCCACTACTGCAAAATTTGAAATATGTGAAGTTAACCTCTGAGTCATCCCCATTAGCAGTAGGATCTAAACAGTTTATTACAGGACCAAAACCACATGTTATGGAGTTGACCCCAGAGCCACAGCTCCAGGCAGTAAAGTCTAGGCAGTTGGAGCCAGAGCCAAAATTACAAGATGTGAAATATGTTAATTTAATTCAACAGTCAACTACTACCAGAGTGGTAGAATCAGAGAAGCCAACACAAGAGCCAGTGCTACAAAGCATGATATCAGAGGAATTGACTAAGGAGGCACAGCTCCAAGGGCCACAGCTGCATAGTGTAAGATTTTCAGAGTTATCTCCAGAGCTGCCACTTCAAGGAGAAAGACCTATAGATTTAATCTCAGGGTCTCCACATCATGGTGTGAAATCTGATGAATTGACCCCAGGTTCCCCAGTGCAAGAAATAAAATTGTCAGATTTTATCCCAGGACCAAAACATCAAAGTGTTGTATCTGTACAGTTGACTGCAGAATCACAACCTCAAAGTGTGAAATTTATGGAACTAAACTCAGGACCATGCTTGCAATGTATCAGATTTTCTGATTTGACCCCAGAACCAAAGCATCAAGGTTTCAAACATGTGCAGTTTATACCAGGAACACAGTTTCAAGATATAAAGTCTGTAGGATTTGTAACAGAGTCATCTTTGCAGTCAAGTCAAGGGCTCCCAGCTGAAAACAGGAAATCTGTTCTGTCTATTGAAGGATCACAGTTTCACAGCTTGAAATCTGTCAAACTGACCTCAAAACTACAATTTCAAGATGTGAAATCTGAGGAACTGAACCTAGGGCCAAGGCAGCAAGATGTCAAATTTTCTGAATTGACTTCAGGGCCAAAGATTCAAGGTGTCAAATCTGGGAAGCAAACCCCAGGACCACTGTTTCATAGTGTGACTTCTGTGGAGACGACTCTAGAGTTAGGGCTTCAAGATTCTAAATCAGCAAAGATGTCTCCAGGGCTTCAAGGTGTGAAACAGGTGGAGCCACGGCTACAAGATGTCAGATTTTGTGATCTGACATCAGGAACTCAAACTCAAGGTGTGAAATCTTCAGAGTTAAACTCAGGGCAACAACAACAATATGTGAATTTTTTTGAGTTCACTCCAGAGCCAAAGATGCAAGGAGTAAAATCTATGAAGTTGACCCCAGGACCTGAGCAGCAAGAGGTTAAGCCTGAGATGTTAGTACCAGAGCCACTGTTTCAAGGTGTAAAATGTGTGGCAGTAGACCAAATGTCAAGCTTTGAAGGTGACACTTCATATAAATTAGTCTCAGAGCCACAGATACCAGATGCAAAATCTATGGAGTTGACTCCTAGACCACAGTTGCCAAGTGTAAACTATTCTGAGTTGACCAGAAGACCATGGTTACAAGTTGTGAAATCTTCTGAATTGATCCAAAGACCACAGTGGCAAGATGTAAAACCTGTAGAGTGGACCCCAATCTCAAAGCTTCAAGGTTTACAGTCTGAGGTGCTAACGCCGGAGCCACAGCTGGAAGATACGAAATCTGTGCAGTTAATACCAGGGCCACATTTGGGGAGTATGAAATCTATGCAGTTAACATCAAAGCCACAACTGGGAAATGTCAAATCTACAGTGTTAACCCTTGGGCCACAGGTGCGAGATGTGAAACCGGTAGAGATGACCCCAGGCTCAAAACTTCATGATTTGAAATCTGAGTTGTTGATCTCAGAGTCAGAGTTGAAAGATGTGAACTCTGTGGCCTTAACTCCAGGACAATGTCCAAGAGGTATGAAATCTACGTTGCTAACCCCAAGTCCACAGCTGGAAGTTAAGAAATCTGTGGAGATAACCTCAGGGCCACAGAAAGAAGATGTCACATCTGTGAAACTCACCTCAGATTCCAAGCTTCAAGGTGTGGAATCTGATGAGCTGGCTCTGTGTTCAAGAAATCAAGGATTAAAAACTGTGACGTTGGTCCTAAGAATACAACTGCAAGATGTGAAAGCTGTGGAACTGAAACTTGGGCAAAGGATGCAAGATGAGAATTCTGTGTTTTCTGCACCAGGGTCATTGCTCCAAGGGCCTCAACTGCAAGGTATGAAACCTCAGGAATTGACTAACGAGCCACAAATGCAAGATGTGAAAATTTTGGAGATAACCCCACGTTCAAATCTTCAAAGTTTAAAACCTGTAGAGAAGACTCCAGATCCAGAGCTGCAATTTGTAAAATCTGTGAAGTTGACCCCAAGGCTAAAGAAGCAGGCAGTAAAATCTGCGGATGCAACCAGAAGACAAAAGTTTCAAGGAGTAAAATTTGTGGATTTAGCCCCAAGGCAACAGTTTCAAGAGATGGCACTTGTGAATTTAACTCCTGGGCCAAAACAGGTTGGTGAGATATCTGTTATCTCACCAGAGCAGCAATGTGTGAATTCAGAGCCACTGAAGGGAGGGTCTAAGTCAGAACATGGGATGTCTTGGGAATTACCTCCAGAGCTAAAATTTAAAGAGAGAAAATTAGTATATCCCAACTTTGAGTTAGAGTTGAAAGGTAGGAAATCATTTGAATTGACTCCAGAATCAAATATTCAAGGTGTAAAATCTAGAGAGTTCAAACTTGAACCACAGTTGCAAAGTATCAAGTCTCCCAAGTTGACCCCAGGACCACAGCTGCAACAAATGAAATCCTCAAAGTCAACTTCAGAGCCACAGCTTGAAGGTGTGAAAACTGTGGAGTTAAAACAAGAGCCACGGCCTGAAAGTATGAGATGTATTCAGTGGATACCAGGACCTGCGTTCCAAGGTGTGAAATCTGTAGGGTTAAATCTTGAGTCACAATCTCAAGGTGTCAAATCTGTAAAGTTGAAATCTTCAATACAGTTAAGAGATGTGAAGTCATCTAAATTGCCTCTGGGGCCAAAAATTCAAGGTGCAACATATATGAAGTTCAAACTTGGGCCACAGTTGCAGAGTGTGAACACTCCTGAGTTATCCCCAGGACCACAGCTGCAAGAAGGAAAATTTTTGCCCTCAACCTCAGAGCCACAGCTTCAAGGTAGGAAAACTGTGAAGTTACACCAAAAGCCACAGCTTGAAAGTATGAGAATTGTTGAGTGGATGCCTGCACTAGTGTTTCAAGGTGTGAAATCTCTGCTAAATCTTGGGTTGCAATCTCAATGTGTCAAACCAGCAGAGTTGAAACCTTTGATACAATTAAGAGGTATGAAGTCATCTGTATTGACTCCAAGGCCAAAGCTCCAAGGTGTACAATCTCTGGCATCACTCCAAGAACCTCAGCCTCAAGGTCTCAATTTGAAACCTTGTCTACAGTTTAGAAGTAAGAAATCATGTGACCTGACTTCCAAGTCAAAGCTCTGTGATATAAAACCCATGATGCTCAAATCTAGGCCTCACTTGCATGATGGAAAATCTCCTAAGTTGATCCCAGGACCATGGTTTCAAGAAGTGAAACCATTACTGTCATCCCCAGGAACACAGCTTCAAGGTGTGAAGTCTGTATTGCTTACACAAGAGCCACAGTTTCCTGAGGTGAAGTCTGGGGTATTAAGCCAAGAGTCACAATTACAAAGTGATGAAACTATAGAGTTGAACTCCCCACTACACTTGAAAAGTATGAAGTCATCTGAGTTGACTCTTCAGACAGAGCTACAAGGTGTGAAATCTGAGGATTTCAACAGTGGGTCACAGGGGCAAGGCCTAAAATCTTCTAAGTCACCACTTGAGACAAAGTCCCAAGATAAGAAATTTACTGCGTTAATCTCTGACTCACAGTTGCAAGGTACAACATTTTCTAAATTGACTGTGGGGAAAAAGATTCAAGGTGTCAAATCTACAGATTTCAACCCTGGGTCATTGTTACAAGGTGTGAAATCTTCTGGATGGACCTCAAAGATAAAGCTTCAAGATGTAAAACATAAAGAATTCAGCCCCAGTCCTCAGTTGCAAGTTCTGAAATCTTCTGAGCTGATTCTGGGACCAAAGCTTCAGAATATGAAATTCGTGTTCAACTGTGAGCCACAACTGCAAAGAGTGAAATCTTCTAAATTAATCTCAGACTCAAAGTTTCAAGATGTGGAATCTGTGAAGTCCAAATCTGGGCCACCATTGCAAGGTGTGAAATCTTCTGAGTTGATACTGGAGACAAAGCTTCAAAAAGTGAAATCAGTGGAATTCAAGTCGGGTCCACAGTTGGAAGATATGAAATCTTCCAAATTTATCACAGGTATAAAGCTTCAAGATGTAAAATCTATGAATTTCAGGTCTGGACCAAACTTGCAGGGTATGAAATCGTCTGGAGTTATCCCAAGGGAAAAGCTTCAAGGTGTGAAGTCTGTAGAAATGAAACCTAGTCCAAAGGTACAAGTTGAGAAATCTTCTGATTTGACTCTGGGGAGGAAGTTTCCAGGTGTGAAATCTGTAGAGTTGGACTTAGGTCCACACTTACAAGATATGAAATGTTCTGAGCTGATCATGGGTATAAAGCTTCCAGATGTAAAATCTAAGCAGTTAAGTTCTAGACCACACTTTCAAGGTATGAAATCTTCTGAAGTGATCCCAGGGACAAAGCTTCAGAAAGCGAAATCAGTGTTCAACTCTGGACCACAGACACAACGCAAAAAATTTTCTGAGTTGATTCAAGGGACAAAGCTTCAAGATGTAAAATCCTTAGAGTTTAACTGTGGACTGAAGTTACAAGGTGGGAAATCTGATTTAACCCAGAGGAGGAAGCTTCAAGGTGTGAAATCAGTGGAGTTCAACCCTGGACCACAGAGACAGGGTGAGAAATCTGATTTGATGCTAGAGTGGAGGCTTCAAGATTTTAAATCTGTTGTTCCGTGGTTGCAAGGTGTGACATCTTCAGAGTTAACACCAGAGACAAAGCTTCAAAGTGGAGAATCTGTGGAGTTCATCACCAGGCCAGCGTGGAAAGATATGAAACCTTTTGAATTGACTCTTGGTACAAAGGTACAAGATGTGAAATCTTTGGGGTTTAACTCAGCTCCACAGTTACAAGACAGGAAATTGTCTATGTTGACACCAGAGGCACACCTTCAAGGTGTGAAATCTATGGAATTCAACCCTGAGGCAAAATTGCAAGGTGCAAAATCTTCTGAACATATAAAGCTTCAACTAATGAACTCTACAGAGGTCAACCCTGGTCTAGATTTCAAGGTTGCAAAACCCTCTGAGTTGGCCTTGGAATCAAAGATTCATAGTGGAATATTGTCTGAGATCAGTGGTAGAAAGCAGTGGCAAGATGAGAAATCTTATAAGTTGAATCCATGGCCAGAACTTCAAAGTGTAAAAGTCATGGTGTTCAATCCTGGGACACATTCGCAACATATAAAATCTTCAGAATTATGCAAAGGGACAAAGCTTCAAGATGTGAAATCTTTGGAATTCAATCCTGACCAACAGTTGCAAGATGTGAAATCTTCTGATTTTTGTCTGGGAACAAGGCTTCACGGTATTCAATATTTCGAGTTCAATCCTCGACCACAGTTGCAAGAGGTAAAATCTGAGTTGAGCACAGAAATGAAGCTTCCAGATGAGCAATTTCTGGAATTCAAGCATAAGCCTAAATTACAAGCTGGGAAATGCTCTGAACAGAATCCAGGGCCACAGCTTCAGTGTATAAATTATATGCCATTCAATACTGGGTCACAGGTGCAAGGTATAAAGTCCTCTGGGTCGAATCCTAGTCCACAGCTTCAAGGTAGAAAATCTAAGGTGCTCTGCATTGGGCCTAATTTGCAAGGTGTGAATTCTTCTGCATTCATTTCAGAACCAAAACTTCAGTGTGTAATTTCTACTGGATGCAACCCTGGGCCACATTTGCAAGGCACAAACACTTCTGAATTAGCTTCCATTTCAAAACTTCAAGGTATGAATTCTTCTAAGTTAAATTCTGAGATCCCAGGAGTGGATGTCATATCTAACGAAAGGATTAAGAGGAAACAGGTGGAGGAGTCAGGGAGCTCACTCCGGAGCCCTTCCCACCATCCACCACAAAACTGGAGATCACTATCTAGGATCTTCCAGGCAGGATCAGGGGCTCGAAGAGGTCTTACCTGTCCTGTCCTGGGCAGGCGACGGAATGTCTGGGAGAGTCACTCCTGGAGGCAGCGACTACCTCGAAAATACCTCTCCAGTATGCTAACGCTGGGCAATGTCTTGGGGACCAGCATGGAAAGGAAGCTTTATTCTCAAACATCTTTAACAGAAAGAGCCACTGCAGATACCTGTCAATCTATTCAGAATTTATTTGGGGTTCCAGCTGAATTGATGGAATTTTCCCAGAGTCTGCTTGGGAAGGGTCAAGGTACTATTTCTCAGCCTTCAGTTGTCAAAAACTACATTCAGAGACGTACTTCATGCCATGGTCATGAGAAAAGAATGGCCTTAAGGATGTGGACACGTGGCTCCATGTCCTCCATAATACAGCACTACTCTGGCACTAGAGTGAGAATAAAGAAAACAAACTCAAAGCCCTGTGATATATCCCAGGAAGTCATTCAGCACATACCTGTTTCATGTACAGAGAGTCAGCTTTCTGCCCCAGCAAAGTCAGAGTCTTCCTTCAACGTATTTTTTGCTAGGAGAGATTCTGTTCCAGTGGAAGAGAGTAAGAACTCACAGAGTGATTCACAGACAAGGAGTTTTGAGTCCCAACACTCCCTCAAGCCAAGTTATCTTCCCCAGGCCAAGTCTGACTACTCAGAACAGTTCCAGCTTCTACAAGATCTGCAGCTAAAAATAGCAGCAAAACTGTTAAGGAGTCAAATACCCCCCAATGTACCTCCGCCTTTAGCTTCAGGTCTGGTTCTAAAATACCCTATCTGCCTACAGTGTGGCCGATGTTCAGGATTTAATTGCTGTCATAAATTACAGGCCACTTTTGGAACTTACCTTCTTATCTATCCACAGCTTCACCTTGTAAGCACTCCTGAAGGCCGTGGAGAGATCAGGTTGCGTCTTGGCTTTAGGTTGCAAACTGGGAAAAGACCCCAAGTCCCAAAGTATCATAGAAGAGGTAGACCCACCACACCAAGGAACCTTAGATCAACATCACTAAGGAAAGCTAAAGGCTATACTCAAGCTTCCAAGAGTTCTACTTCTACAATATATTTCCAGTCTGGGTCTTCCCAGTGTCCTGCTCCTATACAAGTCCACATCAGGCGAAGGCAAGGTGGCAGCCCTGGCCTAGTAGAAAAGACAGAAATTAGAGAGCCTGGACACTATGAATTCACTGAAGTTCACTCTCTATCAGAGAGTGACTCTGAAAGCAATCAGGATGAAAAGTGGGCTAAAGTGAGAACAAAAAAGACCCATGATTCAAAACATCCAATGAAAAGAATCCCCAGGGAAGTCAGAACACAAAACACAAAGTTCTACACAAATAGTACAGCCATAATACAGAGGTCCTCTAAGGAATTACCAAGCCAGTTAAGAAGGAAGAGGAGTGGAGCATCTCAGACAACTACTGCCTCTTTAAAAAGACAACCTAAGAAATCTTCCCCACCAAAATTCATTCAACTCCTCTTTCGGGGCCTAAAGCAGGCATTCCAAACAGCACGCAGAATTATGGCTTTGGTTGGGCAGAAGCCTGAGGACAGGACAAGGCCAGACCATTTCTGGTCAAGCAAAAACTACCTTCCAAAACAAAAAGCCAGAGACTATTGCTTATCAAGAGATACCAAAAGACACACGATGCCAACTCTCAAGCTAAGGCCAACAGACCCAACCATTAAGGAGGACAGCACATTGTGGGGAGAAACAGACCAGTTCAGATCAGCTCAACAACCAACCGGAAATAGCTCTTTCCAACCCAGACCTATACAACTGCCCAAGCCCATAGTTTCCCAAAGAAGTACCACTCTCAAAAACACCTCAAGCAGCCAGCCTTTGGGTCCTGTTCAAAATGAGAGTAATAGCAGAGCTAAGAAACGCTTTAACAGAAATGAAGTCTCTAGCCAGGAGTCCGAGAACTCCAAACCAGGAACCAGAGTTCATGCTGGAGGGAGACTCTTACATGGTTCCCCTATGAACAGAACCTCACATAGTCACCTTAAAGAAAAATCCACACACAAGGAACGAAACCACCACAGCTTCTGTAGGGA